ACAAGCAACACTTAGCCTGGCGGTGGGGCTAGTAAAGCATGGCGGGCTGCCAGGCTTATAATGCACTGGGGGAAACCCTGGAGAGAGCAGAGCACTATTAGTGTTCCTTCAGCCACTTACATGGTCATCAGAGGCACTGAGCAGGTTCCCACTGAGGTTTGGATTCCATGAAAGGCCGTAACCTTCTTTCTGGTGACCTTTGAGCCTCAGGTCAGGACTGCACTCCCCACTGGGATCTGAAATAATAATATTCATATTCATAATTTATGATCACTCCAGTTCCTAAATAGTCGATAGGCAAAAGTTCCATCTTGACTCACCTGGCTTTGATGGGTGCTTGGTGTAGTCAAAGACCAGAACGTCAGATGTGGGAGTTTTGGTGGCAATAATGCAGGGATTCTGGGGCATGTAGCGTGCTCGGTTCACCTCTCCTTCATGGTTAATCTTGATCTCAATCTCTATTTTCCCACTCACTGAGCCAAACCCACCAAACTCTGACAACACACAGGCCCAACACTGAAAGCACTAGAGTCTGATAAAACACTGAACAGCTGCATATAAAACATCACCTGTGGCCAGTTACAGCGTAATAGAAGAACTACAGTACCGTTTGGTTCTGGTATTAGAAACATAATGCTCCAACCCTGGCTACGGCCAGTAGCATCACTGGATATTTGCTTCTCATCATACATACTGTACCTGTTATTTACACAGAGGCCATGAACACCCCACCCCTACACACAGCAGAATCTCCAACAACATACCTGCTGGAAGATAAAAAAATAAAATAAAATAAAAAACAAAGTTTCAACATGCTAAGTGAATATAATTTATGTATGTGGTTTAGAATGGCATTCATAATGCTAAATCTATGTGTGTAAGATCTACACACACAGACAAAATTGCTGGTACCTCTGTTAATGACCAAAAAGCAACAATGCAGGGTTTCCCTCAGTGTATTATAGGCCTGGCAGCCCACCATGCTTTGCTAGCCCTGCCGCCAGGCTAAGCATTTCTTGTGTATGTTTTTAGGAAAATAATAATAATAATAATAATTAATAATAAAAAAACAAAAATGTTTTTTTTTTTTTCCTTCTGCAATCTAAGCCGGATTGCAAGCATCTCTGTTGCTCTGAGTGCTTCACTGGCGGAGCAGATTTATTCCTAAATTCCTAAAATATAAGTTTAGAGAAGATAGGTTTATAGTTTATGCATTTAAAGCCGGACCAATCACACCGCTGGTACCTCTGTGCGTTGCCTCGCACGCTGCAGCAGCTGGATGACTTAAGTTTACCTCAGCGCGGATCCACGCCTCCTTTCACTCAGACTGGACTCAGGCTGACCTGTATGGATATTTACATCAACCCCCTGTGAGGAATTATGATTCTTTCCAGAGCTTTTGATCAAGGTAGGAGTTTAAACCCCACCGCGTTAGCTCTGGTTGCGCAGCTCTATGTGAACCGCAGGAATAACTTGTAGAGAATGATTTATATTTGTGGACAAAGAATTTTGTGCGGCTTTTCCATTTCAACACGCTGCCCAGTGCCCGGCTCTGTCTGCGCTGATAAAGTTTATGTATGTGTTCCCGGTTGGTCGGAGCGTTAGTGGTTAACGAACCAGCACTAACTTCATCATGCAGGTTCAGCCTGGTGAGGAGCTTTCGCGCTTGCTGCCTCGCAGTCACGCATGACGCTGGTTTTATATTATTTTATTAGTAGAATTATTTTTATGGTTAAACGATGCATCAAACCATATCAAATGCTTTGTCCATTTAATCAGCCAGAGTTAATGTGCGCGGCCGCGCGGAGATCTGAGAAACTCGTCCCATAAACTCGTCCAACCAAAATAGTTTCTTGTTAAAAACTCAACAGACATGAAATGGAAGAGCCACTAAAGCGACATTAGCAGCATTGAATTAAATCTCCCGTTTGTTGCGCATCTCTGCGCAGTGCAGCGGATTTGACTCACCATGCAGGGCCAGTCCAAGGCTGCATGAGGCCTGGAGCAGAATTTGACTTGTGGGCCCCTCTTCATGCTAAAAACATCAGTACCACTTATAGCTTCTGTGTTAAATTTAGTGAAATCTGGGAGAGGGGGGAGTAGTTTAATTGGCCAACCTAAAAATCAATAAGTTATAATAGCTGTTTACTCATTTGTATTAACAAACAGAGCTCAAACTCAAAGATTAAACTCATAGCATCAGATTGTAGATATGGTAACAATTTAACTATGAATATAGTTCTTTGAACTTTTACAAAGTAAACTTGCTAGCTCCTTAAAATCTTACATATAAATGTTAAACAATTTAAAATCTTTTAATTTATGTGTGTTGAAAACATTAAATCAAATTTAGCAGCATTGATCATCTCAATAAACAAGTGTTACATTCATGTATCTGTGGTCTGTGTTAACATATTAGGATTTATGGGCCCTGAAGCCCTGGGGGCCTTATGGAGATGCTGACTTAATTTGGATTAAACTTAACATCTTTTAATACAAAAACACGGTGGACCGCCTCGGCGCCCTGACCACCGGGCTTAGCAAGTTTTCTGGAGAAAACCCTGCAATGGTTACAGAAATAACTTGAAATGAAAATGAACCAATGAAAATCAGATCAAATCTATTGAGGTTTGTGGTCAGAATGTCACAAAATGTGGTAAAGTTTGAAGTGGTATGAATACTTTGGCCATGGACAGTTAGAAATTTTAGTCATTAAAATTTTGATTTTGTTCATAGAAAATAGTTTTGTTGCTATGAAATTGCAAGATGATCTGTGTACTAACCTCCTTTTTCACTATCGTAGTGTGATGCATCAAACTGGGCGTCGTCATTTGGTACCTGGACACTGGCTATTACAAGATGGTTTTGCTCATCTGATGTGTGGGTCCCCAGAACCAGACGGTGGACTGTGTAGTCCTTCCCCTCTGGTCTAAGCATGCATTTTTCACAAAGAAAAGATAAGGAGAATCAATGCTAGTTTCAAACATCCCAGAAAAACTGCTTGTAAAAGAAAAACTGTATTTTATAAAGATGTTAGACATGAACATGAAGTAAATATATCCTGACTTTGATTCTTCAGAACCACTCTAAGACTAGAGATGAACCTCACACATAAACACTGTTCAGATTAAGGCCTAGCAGAGACTGGACTTCCTGTAGTAACGTCATCATTCACAACTTCTTCTGCTCGCTGATTAGCCCGTTTAAAATTCTACCAGATATGACCATGTACAGGGCAGAAAGTCCAGACTGTGCTGGGAGTGAGAATTATTTCAAGCAGAATTGTGGAGGAAGGCAGTGGGCCAGGCTAGGGCAGCAGGGAAACTGTACATCAATGGGAGAAAGGCACAGGGTTTCTCTTTCAAAACTCTGGGTTCAGGTTTCCCTTCTTGCTGTTGTAGTTGTAAGATCACTGGATTTATGCCCAAAGTTCTTTGGAGGTGTGGAGGTGTTTCACTTGACCATTAAGTTCCAGACAATTACCTGCCAATAGGTTTCTCTGTATTGTTCTGGGATGACAGTAACTGGAAAAAGCATGTACCATATTGTCTCCGTGTTGTACTTTTTATAGCCTTTTGATGTCAGAGGATTACTGGCTTGTGAAATGTCACAAGGGGAAAACCATCAACAATAATCTAAGAGAATAAAATGTCATTACCAGTCAGTCTCCAGGAGGACAATTTTGTGCTTACCAAAGAAAAAGCAGCTGCCTCATTACCAGACAGAGATGCAAACTGGTTGATTTTTCCAGATCAGCGGTGCATCAGGCATGTCCATGTCACCATTACTGAGACTTTATTACAGAAACAATTGTAATTACCTGTTGACATCTGGAAGCCACTGCACAGTCAGACTGGGCCACTCCAGGGCATGGGTCATCACCAGGTCATACAGAAATGGAGTGTTCCTCTTCCAGATCTTGTATTCTTCATTGATGACCCTTTCTTCCACTGCATCATCGTACACTGAAGAAGAACAGCAAGGGATAAGTTAAATGTATGAACACAAGTAATCAGAAATATTTGGCTTACCTTTTCATCCTTAATTAATATTTTCTCAGAGTTAGTTTATCATGATCAGAAACTTCTATTTCTATGGTTATAAACTGGCTTTAATTAAGATGTCTTCATTACTGGGACTGTTTCTACTGAAGTATCTTGCACACCACTTTAAGAACACCTTTGCACTTTATTAAAATCACCTTAACTAGCATTTTATTCAGCACTGTACTTTAACTGTAGATTTACATATCAATAACAATTTGCATGCAAGAATTTGTAACTATTTATTGAATATTTGAGTATTTTAATAAGTAGCATTTTGTTCCAGGCTGCGCATAACCAACCACCCCGCTTCAATTAGAAGTTGGGGTTGGCTGGCCATAAAGAGGAAAGAATTGGTCCTCAGAGCAAATAATGTCCACTGTTCGGTGAAACTTAGGCACCGGTTTGTGTAGAGTCTGGTGGCAAAATTTACCACTAGACTTCTACCAGGTAAATGTGAGTGCAAAAAAGTGACTTGAAGTTGTTAAAATGTAGTTACTATGATTGGTCTTTTACCATTTAAATGATCTTAGTTTGGCATGTTGCTCTAGATTCTGTAAGCCTTCAGTTTTAAACCCATTTAATGTTCAGGATCTGTCACCTCCTCCATGATATGATCCAATATTTTCATTTTCAATCTGGTATTTTGCATTTGACTTGGAGTGGCATGTAGTGGCTGGTCAATAAATCAGTTTATCAAATTTTCTGTTTTGTACAATAGAACTTTTTAAAACCAGGGTTTTATTCTCACCAATGTACTACTTGTGTTTCCATAATTCAGTGATGTTAGCCATCCATGCTTTTCAATCTTGTTTGATAAGCGTGTTTTACAGCTTCCATTTATTTGGACTTCAGGACAACTCACAGAAGGCAGGATTTTTAAAAAGTCAGTTTTTGAAACTATATTTAACATTTAAATATATTTTAGATTACATTTAATTTGCTTTTTTTTCTATCATTTGTTGAGAAAGTGAGAAAAAAAACTTAAAATTGAAGATTTTATTTTTAAGCCATATTAGCCAGCTGTAGAGCAAGCAACAGCAGACAATCATTTGTGTTGTTGACTTTACAACAATTCCTCATACTGAGTAGGCATGTAGTGACAGTGCAGAGGAAAAACTCTTTTAACAGGAAGTAACCTCCAGCAGAACCACATCTGCTCTCACAAAGCAGAACAACTGTCTACTGTTTTGCCAAACAAGGAAGTGACATTTTTTAATTAGATATTTTTCTAAACAAAGGCTGAGTTCTCCCCCTACTTTTTGGTTTTGCTCCAGTTATGGAAAATTCAAATACTGACATTGTGATTAATCATAATTTTGCTCTCAACTGGATGAAACTGGCAACCTTCAAAAAATGCTGCAGTATAGAAATGGTATTGAGTATTTTGCTTCATATAGGTATAGAAACGTTACCATTGTGACAACCACAATCACATCAAAAATTTGTCAGCAATTCATCCATGCACCTTTAATGTTTTCATGCCCTCCCACATGTTTGAAATACAGATAATCTAGTTTTCTCTCAAAACTTGAATTTGTGAATCACAGTGCAAGTAATGCTTAGATAATTACAACCTATTTATAATGGAAAGGTTATCCACATAAACATCAGTCATAAATTTGTATTCATTTATTAAAAAATATATTGCACATTATCACTCAATACCATGGACTAGAAAGGAGATGTTAAGCAAACATGTGCATGTGTATTTGCAGTTCTGTGTTCAACTGTTCTTCCTAAGCTACATGAAAGTAAAGAAACAGGTCTGATTTGTCTTTATGACAAAGACCAACAGATTTCTTTTTATTTATATTTCATGTTTTTAGGTACTCATTAGGTGCCATTTATCTTGATTGGCATAAAGGTTAACTTATTAACCTTTAACCTAATAAGGATATGATTTTTAAAATCATAAAACATCCATTTATTGATAAATTAATAATATATTTTTCTCTTTGTTTATATGATTTCAAAGTAAAATACTCTCAAATCTACAAACACTACATCAGTGATCTCAAACTGCAGTCCTGAATTACCAGAGTCCTGCCACCTTTAGATGTGTCCCTTGTCCTACACACTGGAATTAAATGGTGAAACTTCCTCCATAGCATGGAGTCAAGCTCCACAGAGCTCTGCTATTGAGCTCATCAGAGCCAGGTGTGCTGAAGCAGAGACAAGTTACCAGACACCGGCCCTTTGAGACCACTGCATTAGATCCTGTGAATAATAAATACAGTTTTTTGTTGTTGTCTATTTTGCCAAACTTCTGTTTCTTTAAACTTTTCTCTTTCACAATGTGAGATGGACAGACTATCAGTCCAACACTTTAGCAATGAGCTGTTGCAACACAACATCACAGACTTGGGAACAAGAAAACCACAAGCAATTTCCCCTTGGGGATTAATAAAGCATATTCTGTAGGAACCAGTTATACTCTTAAATATAGATAACAGATAAGTGATGCTTTTCTATACACTAGTAAATTTATTTTCTGTTTGTGTGGGGTTTTTTTTGTAAGTTCTTGTCTAAAGTTTGTCTCCTCTAACCCCTTGCATTTAGTAATTCTGTATACATGTGCCTATATTGCAAAAACGATTCAGGGAGATCTTCAACTAACAACTGTGACGTCTCCCAGTGACGTACATAGAATGCAGAAGCTTGTCAGTTGAAGAAGAGTTTATCCCGTTTATGGGGAAAAAGGTGACTGTGGTCTGTTGTTTTATCGGTAAGATAATACATCTAAAGTGAGTTTGGCTGATTTAACGCAAATATCTGGCTGGTAATTCCAAAAAGTGCTCGCAAGAGAGTTTTACAACCAATAAGTGTCCAAGATTTCCATATTCTTGGACTCTTTTGTCCCACGCATCTATCTGATACGGCAGGTCTCGTTGTAAGGTTTTTATTTTAGTCATTTCGCCATAGACACCTTATTTTTCACTTTTTAGTTGCAATATTGCTACAAACTTTGTACAATCTACTCGAGTTTCAGGGTTTTCTTCACCATGCTTAATCACCTGGAATGCAGAAGGCCTTTTGTGGAAACCTTGACAGAAGTTCTTGAACATAACATAAGCTCCACCAGCACGCAGTCTAAGACCAGAAAGCATGACTGCGCTTCACTGAGCTAGCACAAGATGCTAACCATAAAGCCCGACAAATCCGCACAAAGCGATACATAAAAGAAAACTAAACCTTTGCCCACATGCTACAGAGTTGTATTTAACCTACCCTCCTTTTCAGCCATGTCCCAAACCTCGCAATGACACAATGGTCAAAAACAAAGGAAGTCGCAAACTGCTACTTCTTAGCAGATCCCTGGCTAGTTGTCGGAGCTGAGCGTCATCAATGGGTCTGCACCATTTACACGCCTCTGTAGCAGAGCGCCGAGTGGGCGGGGCTTTATGTATGCCGCCGGATTTCCCGCCGGATCCAGCACTGCTAGATAAAAGGACATACCTTCATAGACATAATATAAGAGTAGACCCCGCATTGGCTGCTCTGGCGCAGGAAATACGGTGGCCATCTTGGAGCGGTCGTCCTCCTACTTTGCACAACCAAAACAGCATAAGATTCCTCAGCACTGCGGGATATTGTTGTTCGGATCGACGGACTATTGATATGAGGGCTCAACAGACAACATTTCAAAAGTAAGATGGACATATTATTGTGCATTTTTTGTTATTAGAATATTACTTTACTGTCCACCGGCGAGATACCAGCTAATATTAGCTATAGTGCTGTTACCGGGTTCAGCCGGGTTCAGTCCCCGTTACGAAGGCTAACCGAGATTCTGTAAATCTTTCATATATATATATATATATATATATATATATAATGTGTATTATGATCGATTTAATGCGCTGATATGTTATTGTGTCTGCCAGACATATAACGCTGAGT